GGGGCCTCCTCACCCGAGCCTCCGGAAGCGCTCGGCCTGGCAGGGAGCGAGGCACTCAGGCAGGCTCTCGCTGACGTAGAGCTCCACCTTGCTGGAGATCATGTACTGGTGCGCCAGCAGCTGCAGCTTCCGGACCCGGCACCGCCCCGCCATCTGAAGGACGACTTCCTGCGGGAACTGGCAGAACCTGCAAGCGAGCGCGCGCTTCGTGCCCGTCCCGCCTCTCTGCCGCGGGCCGCCAGGCCCGTGCCTGACGGCCGAGACACGTCGCAGCACGTGGGCCCCGCGCCCTGTTCTGGCGCAATGCTGGTGCCACGCGAGGAAAGCGACAGAAGCCCGCGCCGGGGCGCCCCACCCGCCGGCCACCGCCCACCTCGGGGACCGCCACCCGCTGACGGTGGGCGCGTGGATCATCAGCTCCCGGGCGCTGAAGCCGTCCTCGTGCCCCGACGAGCTGACCACCACAAACCCGATCTTGTGGGGCATCCTGCCTGCTGGGCTGTGGGGCGGGAGCGGCCTCTGAGACACCAGCTGACCGCCGCGGCCCGCCCCTCCTGTCCTCGATGCCACTGGACACCACGCTGGGCCGGCCCAGGCTGGGCCCCTGCCGAGCGCCGGGCCTCCTTGTCAGCTCAGGGCGTGGGGCGGCCCCGCCGCCAACCCTCACTCCCGGCCGGCCGCAGAGCTCTGCACGCCCCGGCCGGCCGGCGCCTCGAGCCCCGGCACCCGCCTGCCCTCCCGCCTGCGAGAGGGAGAACCTGGCTCAGGGCGTCTGCGAGGTGTTTTCGCCGACGCGGCCTGGCGCTCCAAGGGGCAGCCCCGGGCGCGTGCTTACACCCTTGCAAACGGGCACAGGCTTGGTTACCTCGGCCCGAGGCACAGGGGCGTCTGCGAGGGTGCGGCCTCGGCCCCGCATCACCGCTGCTGTGGCACAGACACCTGAACCGTGGACCTGTGTGTCTGGACAGCGGCTGTGTCCACTGCGCTGTCGACTCAACAAACCCAGATCGAGGTCCAGCAGCCACGGCGCCCGCCACACAGGCCCTCATGTGCCTGGCACACGCAGGGGTCGCTGAGGGCCCTCCTTTTGGGAACACCAGCTCGGTCACCCGCCAGCTCCGTCCCGGCAGGCTTCCAGACCAGGGAGGGCACCGCTGCCCACCGGGAAGCCACCAGGGGACCCTTTCCAGGCCTTTCTCCTGGCCGGTGGCTGGCTGCCAGGCAGCAACGTGGGTTGACTGAGACAGCATGGCGCAGTGGACACAAGCGCTGTCTAGCCAAGGGTCCTCAGCTCAAGCGTCGACGCCAGGGCGGGGGTGAGGTCAGCGGCCTGCCCCCAGAGGTGATGGGCACCGGCCGCGTCCGACCCGTGAATGCGCCCCGCCTCGCGGCCACGCCACGGGGACCCCGGGCACCACCTACTTCGGAGGCCAGACGGCGACGTCGGCGCCGCGGGCGGCTGGCTGGGC